TTTTTTTAATGTTAAACGCATGTTCTACATATCAAAGGGGTATATAAATATTTAAGAAAATAAAAAGTTTTTGAGTAAAAATGAATCTTAATTTAAAATTTAAAATTTATTGTATAAGATAATCTTTATTTATTAATTTTTTAATCATTACTCTTGTTTATTAATGAGTCTAATTAAAAATAAAAAATATTACTTTTTTTTATAGGAAAAAATATTACTTTTTAGATAAGGTTTAATATACCCTATTATTTTTTTTAGTACTTTTAATTTAATTAAGAACAGAATCATGATCTATTACTACATAAATTTATTATTGGGTTGGGGTTATATTGTATTTTTTTTTAACTAATAGGACATAAAATTAAAAGCTCTTATGTCTTAGTTTTATTTTAATGAATAAGGTTCACAATTACAAAGTTTTAAAATTATGAAAGTTTTTTTAAAATAAGGGAAGAATATGTATCTATTTCCTCTCAAGAATAGGTCCCCTCTTGCTTGTAATCAAGATAATTAGTTTAAAGTTTGAACATCATACTTGGATTATGTAAAGTGTTAACACACTAATTTTTCTATTCTACCAAGATAAAAGGTTTAAATTATGAAAAACTAGCATGATGTTTTATTTCTTTTCTTACAACATATCATGACTTCATTTTTTTTCCTATAAATTTTAGTATTTTTGATTAGGTTGTAAATAAGATGAGTTATTAATGAAACATTTACTTTGAACTCAAATGATAATCATATATTTTGAATCCAAATGATAGTTAATCTTAAATTTAATTTTAGGCTTGAAAATATTTTCAAATTAGAGTTCAAATAGAAATGAATGCTTGCAATTTACCTAAGCTGAGCTCAAATTTAATTAAAAATTTGTTACATGCGCAAAATGCCCAAAATCACCGGTATTACACAAAAATCCCTAAAAACAATGGAAGAATAAAACAGAACAATCGGCTGCCAAATTTGTACTGAAAATTGAAGCAAGGCAAATTGAAGGAGAAAGGAAAATGGTGTTTGGTGCATGGCTGATCTTATAGAACATAAGGAAATCGGCGGAGGTCGCCTTGTTGTGGTGGGTAATGAAGAGATTGTACAAGTTCTCGTTGAAGGAGTTGTTGCAATTCACTCTGCTTCCTGGCTCTCTCGCGGCACATCAACGTCGATAATCTGAACAGCGAGGTTTGTCGCGTTTCGCCTTGGCCTTTTCTCTTCGAAGTTGATTAATTAATTAAGCGAAATTTTGAGTTCTAAATCTGCGTTTCCTTGTTTTTAGTCTTGATTTATTTAAGCTAAATAATTATAATTGGGATTGAAATTTTGATGTTTTGCTGGGTTTGAGAAAAAGGAAAGAATTTGAAACAGAAAACACAGAGGGAGGATGATGCCAGACGACCAGTCTCCCGCCATATTTTTCATTTGATCTTCAGAGGAATAAATTATTATTTTTAGTTAGAGATGGAGCTGTCTTTGAATTAGATTATTCTTTTCAAAAGGGATGAAGGGTTTTCACTCTACAAACAAAGAATACAGATGCTTTTATGCAAAATGTTCCGCAAACAACAATGAAATCCAAAACCTAGTAATATGATGCATGACAAACAACCATGAAATCCAAAACCCATTTGCATGATGCATTATGAACAACAATGAACAACAATGAAATTTAAAACCCTGTAATATGATGCATTACACAAACGCAGAGTGTTGACGCTTTTGTTCACTAACTGTTGAAGTTTCTGTTTCAGCTGATGGAAAATAAACTCCAAACATTCAGTATGATGATGCAGGAGATGCCAAATGGGGTTTAAGGCTTGGTGGCAGCCAAGGTGTTTCCAATGGCAATGACAAATCGGTATCTAACATCACCCTTTGCAAGTCGATCCAGTGCAGTGTTCACATAATCCATAGAGATAACCTCAATATCTGCTGTAATGTTGTGTTTTGCTGCAAAATCTACCATTTCCTGCATCTCTTTCATCCCTCCACCACCGCTTCCTGCCACTTGCTTCCTTCCTATTTTTTCAGGTAACTTGTCAGCTTTTCAGCCTATATATATCAAACGCTAAAGAGCAATTGGATAGATAAAAGAAATAGTTTATTTTTTCAATTCTTTTATATACTTACCCATAATCAATGGAAAGACAGGTAGCTCAAGTGGCTTCTCAGGTCCACCCACCATAACAAGTTTCCCATGAGGCTTCAATAGGTCAATCAGTGGCAAAATGGGATGAGCAGCTGAGACCGTATCTATGATTCCATCCATTGTTCCCTTGACAGCCTGCTCAAATCCAATTAATAAACAAAGTCACTACGCAGGTTTGGTCTTACCGACTGTTTTTGCCAACTAATTCTGATTTAAAACATCTAAATTGCTCTATGATTTTGTGTGATAATGTGAATTACCTCCATTTGGTCCTGGTCACGGCTGACCAAAAATGAATCAGCACCAAGATTCTCCAGTGCTTCATCCTTCTTTTTGGGAGAGGTGCTGATCACAGTCACTCTGGATCCAAAAGCCTTGGCAAATTTAACCGCAAGATGTCCTAGACCTCCAAGTCCAACAATACCTACATGCTTGTTAGGTTCCCCAAGACCAAAATATTTCAATGGACTGTAAACTGTGATTCCAGCACATAGCAATGGACCAACAGCATCAAGAGGAATTCCATCAGGAAAACGAACAACATAATGTTCATGGACAACCATGGAATCGGAGTAGCCTCCATATATCCTTGTTCCATCATGGTAAATTCCCATGTGGCTGTATATGCTTTTAGGGCAGTAATTTTCAAGGTCATTGGAACAGTTTTCACATGAGCCACATGCTTCGGCTATCCCTCCCAAGCCTACTTTGTCTCCAACCTTAATCTTTTTCACCTTGCTGCCTACTTCTGTCACTTCCCCCACAATTTCATGTCTGCAAAATTAAAATTAGTTTGTATTTTGGAATCAGTTAGCTAAGATGAAATCATTATACATGTTCATATTTGAATGGAAATTACTCTCTTCAAATCTAACTACTCTATCATATCATATATGTCCAATAGAGCCTGTTTGGTGCTCCCCTACCCTCCATTTCCTTCAAACCAAACAAGCTCTTAAGCTTTTATGCGGGAAGTTCAATTTTACTTAGATCAATGTGGCTAATAGCAAAATGATCAATAAAGGGTCCTACCCTGGAACAATAGGGTATTGAGAGGAACCCCACTCATTCTTGATGATATGAATGTCTGAATGACACACCCCACAAAATAACACCTTAAATCTCACATCTTCTTCACCAGTTGCTCTACACACACACACACAAAAGCCAGTTAGAAGACAAATATTTTCACAATACTAACACCAATTCTTACAGGGATGTAAGCCAAGAAGAGTTAGAGATCAAGAGCAATCACCTTCTGGAGAAGTTGAAAGGAGAGAGGTGACCTGATGGGTCTCTAGCGGCCCAGCCAAAGGCCTTAACAGGGTGCTCTTCTTCAGGTGATTTGGCCATTTTGTATGAAAGCTTCTGAATGAATTAGACTTCTTTGTGCCTTGTGCATGGGTGCTTGCGGTGAATTATATAAGGGCTGCCTTCTCATCACAGCTGACGTACCAGGTGAGCTAATGTTCAGTGGATATTTTGTGCTAAATAATTTTAAGTACGGATGCGGTCTACTTTATTTCCTTCACATTTCATTTATCTATGAATTGTTTGTTTATTAGTCATGGATGCAAGGAATCAATCCTAGATTATCTCCATTTTATTAAAAAAAAAAAGAAGGGAACTTGGTTATAGGTGTTGAGTGCTGTTGCTGAGGTACTAGGTGAGCTAATGTTTGGCATGAAACTCTGAAAAGATTAGTTTAATACTAGTTATTATTGGACAAAATGAAATTCCTAGTTAATTGATTGAAGGCATGATTTTGTTTATTTGTTTGTTTTTAATCGTCACTGTTGTCCCACTTTCTATATATGAGTGTATTTTTTGTTGTCCTGCATTCTGTTTTATAGAGATATTAAATACTTGGTTAAACTCTCAATTTGATCCCTCAGCTATTATACAGACTCCTGATTTGGTCCCTGAACTTAAAAAATTTATGATTTGGTCCCTGTTTTTTACTAATTTAGTCTCAAGTTGGTCCTTATGTTAAAAAATAGTTGACATGTCTGTTATTTAATGGTAAAAAAACCATTGCTTAACAATCACATGTCATATTAATAATGAGACAAGTCATCCATTTTTGTATGGAAGCACCAACTTGGGCTAAATTAGTAAATAGTAGGGACCAAATTAAGGATTTTTTTAGTTTAGGGACCAAATCGGGGGGTCTGTACAATAGTTGAGAGATCAAGTCGGGGGTTTAACCTAAATACTTTTGTTCCAATGGTACCCAAGGTTAGATGATTAAGGATAAATGTGGTATTTACACAATTATTGCAACTTTAACTTATCCCTGAGTTACCTCTATATCATCGTGCAATCTCAAAGTGGAACAACTTAAAAAAACAGGGAATACAAAATTTAAGATCAGTTAGTAAAACTGATTCAAATCAACATAAAACTCAACAGATAATCTTGAGAAACATGCAATAAAAAGAAGAAAATAACATAAACTGAGCTAGATATGATGCTCAGATTTTTTTCCATTGATTTACATTTGTTTTTCATCAATACAGACTTGTTTTGTATGTACAAGTCTCTACATTACAATGCTCACCTACTATCTTTGAAACATAAGATTACAATTTATCCTCCATGGCATGCATGTAATGTAAATTGAATTTTAAGTTTGAAAGAAAATGATTTATCACTTTAACTATTAAGTCATTAACAGTTTGTTAAATTTTGATGGCCTATTTAGTTATTATGTAGCCTGACAAAAATCTCTTTAAAAAATTGCTATATTATTGTCAGTGATTCTATTGTCTAGTGTTTTGTCAATTAGAAGGATTAAGTAGACTAAAGTAAACTAAACTACTATTTAACCTTCTTAAGTTTTTGTGCACAAAGCAAAATCTTAAGAAGTTAGTGGTTTAGTTAATTAAAACACCTAACAAAAGAATCCGGAGGCATTCCTTCTATTCTTTTGCTGGATCCGCTGGCAACCAAACAGTGTCAAACACAGCCTCATGCCTTGGACATCAAGCATAATACCGGACTTAAGGGGGATGTTATCATACAGTCATAATTTGATCCAATCCAAGTATCAAATACAAATTTTGAATTATGTAAAAGAAAGAATTCAATTTAAATCATCATATCAGGGCAATGAAACCATGGATTAGTTGCACAATGGCATTGATATATCCCTAAATCTAATATACAAATTCTATCCCGTGCAACTTATTGCTGAATTATATATCTTGCACAAATTTCTATTCTTTCTAGCTAGGCCCTGTTCTGTGTGAAGAATGTCCACAATCTATGCACGGATCACTGTCCGGGTTCTTCAAAACGAATGTAGTCATACATAACTCCTTGGAAGGGTGTTGTGCTCAATGATTGAGTAAGATAGATTGTGTTGCTACCTTTTCTAAGTTTATTACTAGGCACTTGAATGCTGTAAAATCTGTATAATCCATGAATTCCATGTCTTGCAATTGCATTGTCAAACCCTATTCTCCCTGGTGTCTCAAATTCTGGTTCTGGAGCATTTGGATCATTGAACCTCACCTGTCAATTCGTTGTCAGGAGGTTTTTCAGCAAAACATCAAATGATGGCGAAAAGGATGGAGTTGAATTTTCTCTGAAATGTGAGAAATATGAAGGATAAGATGCACATACCTGCAGCTTTGCATAACTGGCTGATGCCAAGGCCAATTGGAGGGTGTAATTTCCTGTATGGAGCACGTTTTGGAGCTGAAATGCAATCTGCCATGTTGCTGCTTTATAATCACCATTTCCGAGGTTCCTGTAAGCCAATTGAGGCATTAGGTCGAACACCTTGAAAGCATATAAAAAGGTTCCAAAACACAATTAATGTCTGAAACAAAAGAAGCACCTAGTAACATGAGCATAGAACCAATCCCGGGCATAATTACTAACGCCAAC